GGTGTTTCATCAGAGTGGTAAGAACCCTAAGACAGAGGTCTAAGGCAAGAAGCCATGGAGACACGGAGCAGAACAGAAATAAACAAGTGGTACCCTGGGTGTAGGGTGGGGAAGAAGAGACCAGGGAGGTTTAGATCAGGAGAACAGAGGCACAAGAAGAAGTATGGCACAGGAAAGAAAGGAGAAAATGGTGAGAATGGGAGGAGCCCACCCACAAAGCCCCTCTATGTCACACAGGGACATTCCTTAATTGTGCATCAGGACTAAGTACCTTGGGGAACTCATCTAGTATGAGTCCACCACCTAGGGAAAGGAACACTGGAGAGAGGTCTAGGAGAGCTAGCCTTGCATCCAAAGAGGGACACACGCATACAAAAGCCACAGCCTGGAGACCCTCTGTGAGTCTTGAGGTCTTGGATTTGATCTCAGCATAGTGTGTTAAATGGTATTCATCTTGACAGGCTGCTCTCTCCACGGCGGGAGTAGGTATGGCCTCTTCTCAGTGACACCATCTCAGATGCTGGTAGTGGGAAGAGGCACCTCAGTCATCCTGGAGACACACAAAATGGTCAAGTGAGTAGAAAATATTTCATAAAAGTCTCCTGGCAATCTTCAGACAGGTGTGATCCTGTGGTATCCACGGGATCCTCAGCCCTTGGCCTCACATCAGAGCAGATCCCAGAGCCCACCCAGCAAATCCACCATCTGTCAGTTTTACTGACACAGAAGGGAGCCCAGACCATCTACATGCCCTGCCCTGACCTTCGTTGGCCAAAGTTGTCCTTGTCCTCTCTGAGGTGAACACCTAATTTTTCTGTGGTTTCTTTGCTCTAAATGCTCTAAGGCTTTTGGTATCAGTTCAGGTGAAACACACTTCAGGTAAACAACTACATATAAACTAGGGTGCTAACGAAGTAGGGTAGCACAGGAAACATTAGTAAAATCAGATTAGTATTCAGCCACTTTTCAGGCTTTGGAGTCCAGACTAAGGAGGAAAAAAACATTTGGTTGCTCAATGACCTCCCCATGACTAACGGATCACTTCAGGAGAAACACTTCGAAACTTAACGACAGTCCCTGGCTCTTCCTAAAATCTTTCCTTCCCACCCTTGCTTTTATAAATCTCTGGGGCTCTGTGTTCAGTTCCTCCAGCAAGAAATGTTTCAGGTTGTCACCCTCTGATAATTCCATGAGGGAATTTCCCTGATGCTAACAGAGTCTCAGGAATTACACAGAACTTATCTTGCCTTCAATTTACTCTACTTCAACCATATCCTCTATGTACAAAACTCCCACCAAGAGACACAATACCAGGTCCAGGTCCACAGCTGTCCCCGTGACCTACCCATTCCTCATCCTCTGCCCCGTCTCCTTGCTCTCGGATCTCCACCGTGGCCCTCTCTGAAGACTTTTGGGCCATGATGTTGTCTGTCCAGGATGCTCCTGTCTTTCCATCACCAGCAAAATTACACTTGGTCACTGTCCCCAGCTCCAGTTTGGCTAAGGAATCTGAAAGAACAGAAGTTGAATGGCCTTTCTTCTTGTGGTGGACTAGCCAGGCTAAGGCAATCCTTTCTGGTGGAGTCCTCTAAGTCTGGGTTGGCTCTGTTTTCTGGGATGGCTACTAAGGTTCTTAGTGGGACTCCCAACGCACTAGAGAGCAGGGGCCAGCCATAGGAAGCAAGGAGTTGGACAGTATCCCGGCATATGGTGTGCCCAGGCTAATGGCCCCAGGGCACTTGGCCACAGACTTAGGAGTAAGGCTGGAGATCACAGGTCACATCCCTCTGGAAGGCCAGACCTGGCCTTTTCCCATAGCTCTAAGCAACAGGGATGAGGAGCCTCTGAAGAAAAGCCAGGAACCTCCACAGCAGTGGTTCTCAACCTATGAGTCTCGGTCCTTTTTGGGGGTTGCACATCAAATATCCTCTATATCAGATATTTACATTATAATTCATAACAACAAAATTACAGTTATGAAGTAGCAAATAAATAATTTTATGGTTAGGGGTCACCACAACATAAGGAACTATATTAAAGTCACAGCATTAGGAAAGGTTGAGAACCACTGCCCCATAGGAACAGACAAAATGAATCACACTGCTCACCTATGAAGGGGCCATCACCCCGAGTTTTTAACCGCACTCCAGTCCCCAGCTCAAGTTCCATGGCCTCCATCTCTGACTCAGGCATCCAGAATGCCACTGTCTGGTCTGGGGTGAGGCTCTTTGTCAGCTCCAGCAGCTCCGGCTTGTTTACCAGGCCCTTCAGCCCCTCCAGTGTGAGCCTGTCAGTGTCCCCCTTGGCTTCTGTCTCTGTAGAGCATATGGTACAGCAGTGTTAGTAAGCCGGGAGAGGAAGCTTTCACTGAGAGCATCCCTCCTGCCAGGGCTCGTCACATAATTCTACAGCACAGGCTGTATGACCTGGACACTGGAGCCAGGCTACCTGGAACAAGTCTGAATTCTACCAAAAATTGGGCAAGTGAGCTTTCTCTTTGGGCCTGCGAATAGGGATGGAAATGGTGTCAATCTGACAACACTGACATGCAGTACAAATGAAGAAAGAAAAAAAAAAAA